TGTTGAGCTCTCTGACAGTACATATAATGTTAGTGTTGAGCTGGACGAAGAGCTTGCTCTCAGTGATTGTCAAACCCTTCACAGTCCCCTAGGTTGGGGACCACTGGACTAAACTAACTAATACATGACAACAGTAAAATACAACTTACATATCAATGCATCGATATTAAGGATTCATTCATATAATGTAGGCCTACTGTATGATAATGTCCACCATAAGGGCTCTTTCTAGTAGGAAAGGTACTCCTTATACAGGATTTTGAATGCAGAACACCAAAACTGCCTAATTGTCCTTGTTTTCTTTATCATTAGTGTCCGTCCACACCTCATGCCTTTTCTCTTTTTATATACATTTAAATTAATGTTCATGTATTTCTTTCAATAAATTAAATTGTGAATATTTGCTTGTGATGAACTTGTGTTCTTTTTAACCTTTGGTGGTGTAAATATATTAAATCTGTATCTGACTAAAAACCTGCAAAAAGTGGTGTGGTCGTCCACATCTCTTAAAAAAATATCTATCTTTACATTTAAATGAAGTACGCTTGAGGTTTAATGTGTCTGTGTTCTTGCAGGATATTTTGGCAGGTTGTAAAGATGGCCTCAGCTTGTCCTCGGACTCTGCGGTCATATTGCAGCGGCTCAGCTCTTCGCCCCTGCAGAAGTCCTGCTTTCTGGGTTCCAGCTCTGGAGACTCCAGCCCTGGCCTCTCTGAGGAGATCTCGGCCTCAGCTTCCTCCACAGGATCCATCCCTGACATCAATGGGAAGCACACCACACTTTCTGCAGCCCCACCTTTAAGGGCTGAGAGTGAGCAGGCAAGTCTCCATCATGGATACATGCTGATCTCTGTTGTTTTGTATGTGGGGGGAAAAAGCTTGTTAAACTACAGTGTATTTTCTGATGGGTTATTGGAAGAGTTCACATAACTTTTGTGTGATTCGCCAGGGCATCAAATTAGTTTTTACATCAGTTTTACTCAGAAGATATGACATGTACACTTAAATTCACTCATTTCATTTAAAGTCAAAAGTCAGATTGCCTGGCTTCGAGTGTATTTTCAACTTTTCTGTGGAGCTGGATGTTCTACTTCATTCCTTTTTTTATAAAATGAGAACAGCAACACATTATTTTTTCTTCACATTTATATGCTGCAGGCTCTTAGTGATGAGGCGAGGGATGAAGATCCAGAGACAGACAGCGAAGTTTCCAGTCCTACATCGCTACCTGCCATTTCGCTGCTGTCGCCCAAAGCCATGGAGACGGCCGGCCACATTCTCAAATTTGAGGCGGAACAACGAGAAAAGGCCAAGGTCAGACACAGAGATTGTTAATTATCCCATCAGGTCAACTTGACGGAAGAAAATGTATAATGCATTTTAAACAAGGGCATGAGCATAAATGTGTACAGGACAGGACATCTTCGTCTGAATGAATTTGATTATTTCTAGTAGTGCTGAAACAATTCACTGCAAAATAGTTGGTATATGCTTTTTTCTTTCTTTGACTTATTTATGATTTTTAGGAATGAAAATGTCTTACATGAGAAATATGTTCATATATACACTTTCATGTTTCAGCATATTGAAGCATGTACAGTATAATAATGGACACATAGACTTTAATGAAAGTTATTTAAAGCTTCTTACAAACCTTAATCCTAGTTTTCCCTAAGAATGACTTAACTCGAGAGTCAGAGTTTGGGACCATTTACCAACCTGTTTACCAATATGTGACCACTAAGGTGTCAGTAACCCCACCATGCAGACAGGAAGCTCTACAGCCTCACCTGATTTATATTTTAACCTGTCGGCTCAGATGGCGCTCAAACTGCGGCAGGAGATGCAGGAGAAGCTGGTGGCGGCGGTGGCGAGCTCAGAGTCGGAACAGCTGAAACGCTTTGAGGAGTTCATGGAGTTGAAGCAGAGACAGGAGTACCAGAGCATGAGGGACATGATGGAAAGAGAGTAAGAGCCGCCGGCAAAGGATGCAAGTCTCATGGTTTTTAACATTCATGAAATGTTCTGTGCGATCAAAACTGTCCGGTTTTTCCACTTTCTGCACTGTAGAACTAAAGAGAGCATCGGGCGTCAAGAGAAACTGAAGGAAGAGCAAAGATACAGAATGAAGGTATGTTCATCATACCACACTGAAAGGACACTGGTGTGATGACACCCTAAAAATGGTTGCTTTAAAGGTCTGGAAATGACCACAAAGTCTGGTGTCCACATGCCATATTTATAAAGCATCTGAGTAGAAAATCTAATCGACCTGTGCTGATATTTAAAGGTCCAGTGTGTGACGTTTAGGAGGCTCTAATGGCAGAAATGGAATAAAATATTCATAGGTATGTTTTCATTAGTGTGTACTCACCTGAAAATAAGAATTATTGTGTTTTTGTTAACTTTTAGAATGAGACGTTTTTATCTACAGATGCCGCAGGTCACCTTCAATGGAGGCCACCATGTTTAACTACCAAAACATAAAACATAAAGCCTTCCCAGGACAATGTTACTATTTCACACGTTGAATTTCAATTTCAAGGTTGATTCTGAGACGCTTGATAAATATGAGCCCTGACTGCTTCTTTACACATTCAGAAGTTCAGAAGTTGTTGGCAGTCATATGTGTTTTGTAAAGTATAAATAGATTTTCTTCATTGTCCTCTGCATCAGATCCTCAACCTGCGGCTGAGGGAGGCGGAGCAGCAGCGCCATCGGGAGGCGGAACTGGAGCGGCAGCGGCGGACGGAGGGCAGGGAGAGACTGCGTAACCTTAACGCCATCCAGGAGGAGATCCTGCAGCTCAACCAACTGCTGGATCCGTCCACCCAGACCAAAACTGAGCTCCCGCTGGCCAGCCTCAGCTCCCTCAGCACCCGCGGGAACCAGCTGTGCTCCCAGGTGTCAGAGGTGGTGCGAAAGACGGCAGAGGTGAGTTTAACCACTGATTGGCAATGTTTAGGGTTACAAAAGCAGTCAGATGATGATACAGGTTGGAAACATAATTCAAAAATATTTAATTCACAATGATATAAAACCAAGAAAATCCTCACAACTGAGAAGCTTGGTAAAGGAATGTTGATAAATGACTCAAAGGAGAAGTTTAACCTCTTCTGCTGTTTCTTTCCAGGGAGAGTTTCCCAGCGTAGAGGACATGACCGTGGCCGAGCGAGCCCTGCACGAGATGAGGGCGCTGATCCGGCTGATGCAGGAGGAGGTCGCCAAGGCTCAAGAGAAGAAGAAGCAGGAGCAAGAGCAGGAAGAGGAGCGCAGGAAGCAGGTGGAGCTGCAGGCACAGCAGGAAGCACAGAAGAAGGCGGTGCAGTCGGCCAAAGAGAAGGCACAGAGGAAAGGTGAGAGAGTTTCTCTGACCCAGGACCGTATAGTATGTATCACTGCATGGACATCACCTTCAACGTTTCAGTAACATCTGCTCGGTAATCGTTGAAGATGAACTCACCAGGTGGTAGGAAATTGTTTCAGTGACCTATTTAGAACTTGAATATGTGGCAAACCTTTTAATAGCTATTTGGAAATTTGCTCCAGCGCTCTCTGAGATGTGAGGAACCCCCTGGCTGGTGATCTTGGCAGCTGGCCACCTGGCTCAATGTCCGTTGTTATCCCAGGGATAATAGTCTTACTTTGGCTTATTGTTACCGCTGGCTCTAATGTCTCCATAGTATTTTGATACATTATATAATTCCTTTGTCACCACTTTTCAATGGAAATCAATAAAAAAATAAAAAAAAATAAAAAAATAATAA